CAGCATACCTGTCTGCACTCACTCCAAGTCCCTGCTTTCCCCATGTGGGCAAGTAGAGGCTTACTCAAAGACACGGGAATGCAGACCAAGAGCTGCCCCCACCCCCCAGCCTGCCGAGTGGCTGCTGGTCTTTTAGACCTACAGTCTGCTGGGAACTGAGGCTGGAAGAGGCACCTGTGACCTCCCTGCTCCATCGAGGTCACCCTGAAATGGTCTTCAACATGGCTTCCCTGCCCTTGACGGAAGGCATTGATTTTTCCAAGCAAAGCAGGCGGAGGTCAGTGTGGGCCTTCTCTGAGTTGGCAGTGGCTTCTGAAGGATCTCAGCTCGGCCTTCTTTGTCCCTGGAGTCCTAATCCTCAACACAGGCCTTGGCCCCTGTAGGCAGCCTCCAAAAAGCACTGGTTGTCCAAGTGAGGGTTCTGTGATGTCTGTGGAACCCTTGGCACCAGCCAGGCTGGCATAGGAGCAGCCTGGGACCGGGAGGCTGGTAAAGAGGAGCCCACGATTGCCCTAACAAGGACCAAAGACATTGCCAGTTCAGAACCAGTGGCCAGTCTTACATTCTACTCTTCCCTGTCTCCTGTGCCCTGGAGTGGACTGGAGTTGAGGAACTGTCTTTCTAGAACTTTGGTAGGCCCCATATGCTGGCCATCAGCTGCCTGTCCGGGGGTGACCCTGCAGACATGTTATTTTTTAACATGAACAGAAGGGACATGTTTGTCCCCAGAGAGGTCACAGGCCAAGGGGCAAGTGAGGCTATTTGAGGTGACAACATTTCAGCACTGGAGTCCGAAAGCCTAGTGACAAGGAAGGAGTTGGCAAGCACTGGACACTCTGTCCTCAGGGGCCACCAGAGTCCCCCTACACTGGCTGAATCCCAGCATCCTGGGCAGGCATATGCTGCCTACTTTTGAAGTACAAACACCCCAGCTCATCATTACTAAATGCAGAAGGGATGCCAGAGGCCAGCCAGCCCATCCCGCAGATATCTCCTGGGTAGACAACATGGACCAGTACATACATTCCCTAACTCAGAAGACAGTCACAGTCAACATGGAAACTTAACAAAAAGTGTGGAGGTTTGAAGGGCCACCCTCTCCCTGTCCATCACAGTGTATTCAGTCATCAGCTTATCCATTTGTTTGTTTGATTGGTTGGTTTGCCATTTAACAAGAGGCTCCCAAATTCCCACTCTCTTCTTGGCCACTCTTGGCATGGGACAGGGAACCCCATCGCATGTGGGACACACATTGGAAACCCTGAGCTGTGCCATCCAGGGCAAGCCTGTTTTTTTTTTTTTTCCCAGAAAAGCAACTTGACTGAAAGTTAATTAAAAATGTCTTCAGTAAACAGTAAGAGGGGGTGGAGGAGAACCCCAAGGAACCAAGGTTTGAGAAATAAACGCTGCTTTATGGAAACGGAGACAATTATCAACCGTCTTAGGGGCACAGTAAAATAGACGGGAGGCTCACGGAGACAGGGGACAGAACAGATTAATAGCAACACCATGACAATTAAAGAGATGGCGCCCCAGAGTTGAGTCATGAGCCCATCTGTAGTGCCACCAGACCCTGCAGCTGTGCATGGAACTGTCTGACTGTGACCCCAAGCTCAGGCTTCCTCCTGCCTGGAGTCCGCCTGGAGGAAGGAACTCACTTCAGGAAGAGGCCAGAGCCAGTGAGGTGTTGGTGCACCCCTTGTTTTCCTGCTCCCTCCCCCCCTCCACTGTCACTGTTAGTTGTCACAGCAAAAGAAAAAAAGAAAAGTGTGAGCCATCTTAAATGTCACTCTGTGGGGAACTAAGTGAATGCCAGCTCGAGGGAACTTCACAACCCAGTAGATGCTAAAATGATGTTTAGAGACATTAAGGAAATTCGCATGATAATGGCCAATTTACTGTGAATAAAACTGAATGCAGAATCCCACACAGCCTTTCAGGGAGGGCAAAAAAGCAGGCACAGGGGACGGCAGGAAACAAAACATCAGTCAGGTGGGGCCTGGTGGCCTTCCCCCTCGCCATCGGTTACTAATTAAATAACAGCAATAATAATAACTCTTGTTCACCGAGAAGCTGGCCAGACCTGGCCTGTTGGAATCCTCTCCAGGAGTCTATTCAGGGATCTGCTTTAGACCCACTTCACCTATGAAAACACTGAGGTTCCAAGAAGCTAAACGATTGTGTATGAACTCAGGTACAGTTCTGAGACAGCTGCTCTCAGCCCTGCAAGTTTGCTGGAGTCTGACCAGGAGATGGGGGAGAGGAAGGGGTTAAATTACCTGGGAATAAGCATGCTGGGCTGCTTGGCTGCACTGCCTGGCCTCCTGTGGTGGGGAGGAGCTAGCTGGGAGACAGATAGACCAGAGGGCAGGTGAGGGGCAGGTGGTTGGCTGGTTGGGTGGTTGGCAGAAAGGTGGGTGTGTGGGTTAGTAGGTGGGTAGGTAGGTAGGTGGATGGGCAGGTAGGTGGACAGGTAGGTGGGTATTGAATGGGCAGGTAGGTGGGCTGGTGGGTAGGCAGATGGGTGACTACTTCTGCTGGGACCTTGAGTGATAGGAACAACCTTGGTGTAAGAGAAAGGACAGAGACCTTAAACCCAGGCCCCTAGGCTGAGCATGTACCAGTATGATCCATCAGGTCTCTTCAGCCTTCAGGCAGAGGCTGGAACAGCAGGAGCCCAAGCTGAGTTCAGACCACGGCTGCCCCAAGCCAGAGAGCACTTTTTCTGGGGCTACTTGGAACCCTGGACTTCCTGTGGTTTAGGGGAGCCTTGGAGTCTCTCCAGGAATGGGTGAGGCTGGGAAGCCACACTCTCCAGCTGGCAACACACTCAGCCTGAGCCAGGTGTCTCAGGAATCTCAGGAGGTAGATGTCCCAGTCAGAAAGGGACCTACACTGCCAGGCCCTGGGCTCAGACATCAGCCATGCTGAATTCTCCCTGGGCCTCAGTTTCTTGGATTGGCCTGAGGACACTCACACTGTAGGGCTGCTGGGGAGAGTCAGTGGCCCTGTCCATAGGCACTGTGACACTCTGCTGCCTCAGCCTGCTGTGCACTCTGTGGTTCATTCACTGAGCTGACCTTCACGGGGAGCCTTCAACACACCATCCCATGAGACACAGGCCATTCACTCAGAGTGTGCCTACCGTGAGCTAGGTGTTTGTTCTCAGTGCCAGAGCTCTGTAGAGTCCTGCTTTCCAGGGTTCCCTTCCAGTGGGACAGACAGACAGACAGCAAACAGGAAACCAGACACAGTGCCAGGTGCAAAGTGTGTGGAGGGAGCTCTCTGTGTAATGGTGTTGGGATACAGAGGAGATGGAGGTAAGGGCTGAGGACAGTCTGTCTGGGAGGAGACCCTGGGCTAGAACCTGCTGGGAGGAAGGGAGCTAGCCCCACAGGTTACTTGATGAAGTGGTGAAGCGCTTTGTTAGGTTGGGAGTGGCAGCTGAGGCCCTGAGCCAGGGAGGCCACAGTGTGGGGTGAGCAAGTGAAGAGGGTTTTGATTCCATTAGCTGGTTTTGATACTGTTTTAAAAGGGTCACTCTGCTGCCTGGCACAAAGGATAGAGACAGGAAGACAGGCAGGAGACTCTTGCCTCAGCGTGGGCAAGACAGAGATGGCCACCCAGTCAAGCACTCTTCCAATCTGGCTGGAGTCAGTCCACCTGTGTTCAAGTGCTGACCGCTGACTTGCTGGCTACCCAAGGGCCAGTCACCAAATAGCTATGTGCCTCAGTTTCCTTGTCTACAGATATAGGTGGCAGAGTGGTGGGCAGGGGACCCAGGAAATGGGCTATACAGATGTTTGAAACACTCCCTCCTGGAGGAAGGGGAGGCAACATGGAAAAGTCACAAGGCTCAGAGGCCCTAGCAGGTGACAGAACAGTGAACCAACCCACTTGTTGCTGGGAAGAAGAGACTCTTCAGTAGAGTTGACTTCGAGGTGCCCGGGGGCCGGGGTGGGGAGGAGGGGACGGGTGTCCAGGGAGCTTTGAGAACCACCACACATATTGGAGTGAGCTTTTTGGTGATGTGGCTCCCTGAGTAGGTTGTGTTTCAGCTCTGCCATCGGCACGCATGTGGCCCAAGTGCACACGAGGCCTCAGTTTTCCCATCCATGAAGTAAGGACAATTTAACCTTTGAGACCCTGATAAAATAGATACCAAGTCCCAGTGAAGCTTGGAAGAGTGGTGTGTTTGTGTGTGTGTGTGTTCTAGCACATGTTCGTGTGTGCAGATACATGTATGTGTGTGCATGCATATTCCCCTACACGTGTGCCAGTGACTGCAAGGACAAGGATGGGGTGGCCAACATGACAACTGACCTCTCTCCACCCGTCACAGGATGCAGAGGCAGATATGCTGAGCTGCTTGAAGGGCGCCAGCAGCTCCCTCCAGATGGTCCTGGGGGACTGGGCTGGAGGTGACCATGCTCAGTCAGATCCTGCACCACGCCTGTGCACCGGCTAACCCGCTGCACTGTCAGCAGGGACTCACTGAGCATCTGCTGTGAGCCATAGGCAGCCCCGACATGGGCTGAGAGCCTGGAACTACCAGAAACCACAGGAAAATAAGCTGCTGGGACCATCAGCAGGGGACAGGGCTGGAGAGGAAATCTAGAAGCTGGTCTGGGGACAGTGACCACTATCGTCTGCAGCCAAGGAGGAGGCTGGAGTACTTCTGCCTGAGGAAGGCAAAGCCCCGGGGAAGGTCAGGAGAGATTCAAGGTGTGGAGGACACAGAAGCTGCAGGGAACGGAGGAGTCTCAGGTCATCTGATCAGAGACTGAGTCTGAGAATCTGAATAAAAGTTCCTCTATAAAACTCAGTGAAGGCAGCAAGTCTCCAACTCACCCAGGCTCCACTACTCCCTAACTCAGAGACACAGAGCTGGCTGAAGCTCCGTACGCCTGGCGGCTTAATGTGGCACCTGGTTTTGCCTTCAGTCAGAGAGTCATACTGCTTAAGACGGAGATGAACAGAGTAATGAGCGAAGAGACTGTTCACAGGACCCGAGGGGCCAAGGTTGTGCCACAGCCCCCGGGGTCTTCAGTATTGCTGCGGAAGTGGCAACTTAGGGGACACCCAGGACCTGTCACTTATGCCCCAGCTGGTAACCAGGGGCCTGGTAGTGACCTGCTTCTAACTGAGTGGCTGGTGGCATAGTTTTCCTGTTTCCACCTATAGCAGGGCAGGGGTACCCTAGAGCCTGGGAAGCCAAGACCACCCATAGCTGCCTGGATCTCCATCATGCAGGAGCCTTTGACCTGCCCTGCCAAGCTGGTCACGTGGCCTCGAGCCTCCCAAGGTGACATATGGGTCTGCCACCATTACCTTCTTGATGACCTGGCTCCTCTGCTGGAGGTGGTGTGCCATAGAGGCCAGAGAGTCAGATAGCCAAGACGCAGAGGTCTACACAAGTCAGATTGAAGAGGGAAGAAGCCGTGGGCTGAGCTCAGAAGACGTCCTCCGAAGTCCTGGACCCTGCCCCTCTAGTCTCCCAGGGGACCACGGGATGACAAAGGAAGAGGTCCCACAGGGCTGCCCAACCCTCTCCCCTTGTTTCTCCTCTGGAAAATAAAAACCCCAAAGCCTCAGGCAAAGTCACAGCACATCCAAGGACACAGAGTAACTGGGAGGTGGTATATGAATGTGGCCAGTGGCTAGAACATTCCCCCACAACACATAATATGCAGGCCTCTGCGCCATGGTTTGAATGGGTGGCCTCAGGCACAACTTCCCAAGTCTGAAGAGGAAACCAGGAGGCAGGGACGGTTGGGCTCCACAGTATGTGTGTCCCACACGGCCAGGTAGACACCTCCTCTCAGACTCTGTAAACTCCAGCTTCTGTACAGCTCCACGCTCTGGGCACACCCCTGCCACCTCCTCTACGCCTGTATCCCAAAGGTGCAGCATGGCACTTGGCATACAGTAAGTGCATAATATGTCCATGTTGATGAAAACCAGTGTGGGAGAGGGGAACACTGAGACAGACACAGAGCTCACAGCAGGTAACCCCGGACATCAGGAGCAGAGGCGGGGACTTAGTACAGCTCCAGGCACTGTGGGCCTCGGGACAGCCGAACACTCCATCTGTGAGTACAGAACACTAACTTTCAACTCCCTCCTGGGCAACAGGCGGGGACCCCAAAGGAAAGGATGGAGGAGGCCCAGTCCAACTAAAACCAGGGTGCCCATAGGCACCCCACCAGGCCCTCTTAGTCAGTGGGCTCTGGGGGTTCTGTGACACAGACATGAGATGTATACTTTGGGATTAGGTACAGTAAACAGACTGCTCACTGTCCAGCTTTTCCTGGGTCTGGGTCTTGCTCTCCACCTGAATGGTGGCTCTCCACACCTTCACCTCCTACCATAGGAGTCAGCCCAGGGCTCGTCCAAGGAAGTACAGACAGTGGCTGTCTCCTACGTGATAGACAGGCAAGTCCTCGTTGCCTAAGCACAAGAGGCTGTGAGTGCATCTGATTAATTATTCACGCCATTCATTATTGAAAAAGGTCGCTACCTGGGAGCCGCTCCAGCAGTGGCTAACAAGCTCGCCTGTATCTCCCAGGAGAAGCAGCTAAGGTGCACTGTGTGCCTACTATGCATCAGGCAGTCCCAGAATAACCCAAGGAATGGTACACCATCATGGCTTCTCACAGGGATTGACGGTCAGAGGGTGATATAACAAAACTGGCCAGTGTGTGATGGCCAGTTCCCTTCAGAGCCCAGTGGTCACTGTGCTGGAAGATATAGGTGACCAGTCACCCACAGAGCCTGGTGGGTCACTGTGCTGGAAGGTGCAGGTCACCAGCAAGAGGCTCAAGATGATCTTGCAGGCTGGGCTCTGGGCTGTGACCACCTGGGATGCCTGTGTTCAGAATCTGAGAACTATGGTTACCACCCAGGCCGCAGACCTCGCCGGCCCATGACCCTGAGCCAAGGCCTTGCTTATCTCTGTCCTTGAGCTAGCTGACCTCATGAGATACCTGTTCTCAAAGTCCTCAGTTCTGGGCAGCAGTGCTACCACCCCCCCACATACACACACATACCCCAACATCATACTGGAGTAGGGGGTCAGAGACGACAGCTGCCAAGCCTTTGATATGTCACATCCCTTGAGAGCACCCTTCCCTCTCCTGGCTTCCGAGGGACAGCCTGCCTGAGTCACCTCCAGGTATGCACGGCAAAGGAACTAAAGGATACATTTAGACTCATTTCCTGACCTCACGCTGAAAATTCTTCTCCCAGTCACGGATAAGCTTTCTCTCCTTTGACCAGACCACAAAAACTTGAAAAGCCATCCAACTTCCCCTTTTGCCTTGGCTGTTGGGAAACTCAAGTGACAACCTATCTTTTCTGGCTTCTCCTCTAGACACATATGTACTGCCACACGTGAGTGGCTTTAAGCCCTCCTTGGCGAACAGTAAGGACAGCAAATAGCCGGGTCACCTGCCGTCCGAATGCAGCAGTAGTAATAGAGTCTGCTCCACCCAGGCTGCTGTTGCAAACACTTACCAGGCTGATGAGCTCTGGAAGGTCATCAGGGGTGGGCTGTGCGTATCTCCCCGCAGTGTGTGCACAGCCTGGGGGGCTTGCGGCAGGGCACCAGGGGGAGGTTGTGGCTGTGGGGCTGGCTGTCCTGGCCGAGGGGCTCGAGCAGGGTTCCCCCACCGCCGGGGGTCCTGTTTCATCCACCGTCCCTGGATCCCCCACCGCGTCAGGTAAACCTTGCAAATATCGTAGTTCATGGCGGAATAATAGAGTAGATCCAGGACCAGAAGCATGAGCACGAAGAAGCCGTAGATCCACACTCCCAGCAATGCCGTGTAGTTGCTGGGGAAAGAGAAGCAGAGACTGAGCAACACTTCCAGAAGCCCCAGGCCCGTCTGCCAGCATCCACCACAGCTTGACAAACACATACTACAGGCACTAGGCTCCACCCCTACCTGCCCTGTGCCTCGAACCCCATTTTCCACTGCCCTGGACCTGCCCCGTGCTCTAGGCTAGACTCCCTGGGTCCATCCCTAACAGGCATTCTACAAGAGCTCTGGCTTTTCCCGTGACTCGGGGCCCCTACCTCACCCCACTTCTCCTTGTATATGCCAGGCTCCCTACTGGCTTTGTGCATGTCACAACTGCCCGTGGGACACTCCTGTTCTATCCCTCCCGGCCTCACTCCCAAGGGCAGATGCTGGAGTCCTGCATGGTTTTGAGGAAACAGTAAATCAAGTCACACCCCATGTGCCTCAGAACCCCATGGCACCCCTGCAGGTGTGCAACACCTTCAGAGCCTCTGCAGACTTCCCTACCCAGTTGTCTGTCACTCCCACCTCACCCCAGCCCCTCCCTCAATAATCTTTTCCTTCTGACCACAGAGAAATCTTAATCTCAGTGACTTTTTAATTTTTTTTTTTAAAGACAAGGCCTTTATGTAGCCCAGGCTGGCCTCGAGCTTGCTATGTAAGCCAAAGCTAGCCTTGAATTTCTGGTGCTCCTGCCTCCATTTCCAGAGTGTTTCGATGACACATGCTTGGCTTGTAGGCCACGGGAATGGAGCTTGGGGGCTTTGTGTGTGCTAGGAAAACACCCTACTAGCCAAACCACATCCTTGGCCACTCCATCACCCCTCTGTTCTCCCAAAGAGGCTGCGGTCTTCTGGCAGAGGTGGCAAGAGTCCTTAAATTTTAATATTTCAAATGCTCCCAACCCATTGTAAGCTCGGCTGTCTCTTTACATGTTGCTGGGCACTGAAGCACACAACTGGCCACCCCCTGCACAGTACCAAGCCCTCTACCAGGTAGCCTTTCCCACGTCCCCACCTCCTTCCCCTCTGTCTCACTGTTTTGGGGCACCCTCATTTGAGATTTCTCCAATCTCCAAAGTCTCCATGAACCCCATCACCTTGGCATATCTGTGCCCGATGCCCCTGCCCCAGGTTGGGGTCCCCTAGGGTGGGCTGCCTCAAGGTTTGTCACCGCAGCTGGGTTGCTGCCTGGAACTTGTCAGGGATGGGATGTTTAAAGGGACTGGTTTATTAACTGCTCAAGTGACACTCGCTTCAGTCTGTTCCCTGCCATGGGCATCTGCTTGAGTGGGCACGGGCCAGCCAGGGTGTTGAGAAGAGGCTGCTGACCAGCCTAGAAGAGGCAAGCTGGAAACCTCCACTCCAGAAGGACCTGGAGCTCCTGCCTGCATAAGCTAGGCGCCAAGCTTAGCCTGCTCTCCTGGGTCTGCTGTGCTGTGTGGTCTATAAGAAGCCTCGCCCATCTCCAGGTCTTAAGTCTCTCCTCAACTAAAGATGTCCTCCTCCTTATCTTTCAAGGCTGACCCCTAGTTCCAGCTGTGGACTCTGGTGATGAGATAGTGGCTATCCTCCTGCCCAGCCCTGCCAGGGCAGAAGCAGAGCCAGTAAGCCCACTTTCTTTCTCTATTCAGGAGAGTGTTTCCCAGTTGGCCAATTTCTTGAACGGAAGACTTGTCTTGGGAGTCAGGGCAGTGGGGGTTAGGGGAAAAGGGCTATTAGTAAGGCTCTGCCACACTGTGCACATGGAGGTTGGCAGCCTCAAGACAGGTGCTTAGAATTCAGTACCAGTCAGTACTTGGGCTCAGTACCCAGCAAATGCTAAACCAGGAAGTCTTAGCTTCTTTCTGCAACCTTATCTCTTTGCCAACTACTACGATGCAAAGGTGTGAATGACTGACAGCCAAGCGCTGAGCCTTTTATTAATGGACGCTGGCTTTGCCTGCAAGTGTCAGGGCACAGAAGAGAATGCCTGCCAGAGGAAAAAGGCCACGAGCCCAATTCACTTACAGACTGGAGTCGCTTGGGAAACAGATGTCTAGGTGGGCTCTGGTCCCAGGCACCCAGCTCTCCCCAGATTTCTCTCTCTTGCAGCCCCCATGGCAGGGCTCTGAAAACCAGGCTGTTCCTGGTGGTTCCTATGGCAGCAGCCTGGGGGCTGAAGAGGCGGGGAGGGAACAGGGCCGCTCTCTGCAGATGCTGTTTGGCATCCAGAGCAGGAGGGGTGGTGGCCCTGTGTGAAGCTAGAAACACCAGAAAAGTGAGCACAGGGAAAGGGGCAGCTGAAGGACCCCTCTGCCCCTCACTGTGCTAAGATGGAAGGAAACAGACCTGTCACGTCTAAGGAGGAAATTGGGTAGGGAGAGTCACCTCTGGGGGACCAAAGACTTCTCTAAGATTTCCCAATTGTGACAGCAGTATGAAGATTTGAATTCCCCAGAGCACCTTGGCGAAGCCCAACATATGCAGTTCCAAAGCTACCACAGGAGACTTAGAGATCTATCCCCACGCCTGTGACATACCTCTGCCTGATTCCTGTGCCCGGCTGATTCTGACGCTAAGTCGCAGTGTGGTCATCAGGAAGCCTCCTTAAACTTCATGTGGGTCACAATGTTTCTGGGTTTCTGAGATCACCCTGTGGCCATTTGTAAGACTGTAGTCGCCCCCATGAGACAGCTCTAAGGCAGGTTGGAGTCAACCTTGTCCTTGCATGTCAAACACACCCGTGTGGTACGGACACCGTGAGAACTGGGGATGGGCAGGACACAGGTGCCATGATACCGACTGGCGCTGGCCAGGTGCTATAGTTGTGTGATCACCACGCCCATGATGAACAGGGACACTTTCAGATCTGACCCTGTGCCCCGTGCTCTGGGCACAGAGTGAGGACCCCATTTTATAGATGAGCCCCAGATAGGCAGCCGCATGCCATCACTCACAGTGACTAAAGCCATTCGTGTTTCACAGAATTGGAAACTGAGGCTCATCTCCCTAAGACTATGGAAAGCGACTTTTGAATTTGGGTTCCAGTGGCTCCCACCCACTCAGCCCGCATCTCCGTTGTAAGGCTGACAGGGCCGCTTCCACAGTATGTTCTGTGATTCCTGATTTATGGATGAAGTCTGAAGAGGGCTATTCACAATTCCCACCCGGCCAACCCAACCAGCAGGGCTGGACTGCTTCAGCCAGAGTCTTCCTGCTCTGTCTGATGAGCTGGACCAATCCTCCCATGACTTCCGGTTGGAGGAGGGCAGGAATTTCCATCCCAGGCCAAGAGTTTGGAGTCAGGTCCCTACAACCTCAGAGTGTGCTAAATCCCAGGAAATCCCAAGGTCAAATCTAAAACAGACACCAGAGAGGGAGTCCCCAGCTTCTGCGCTCTTGTCCTGGCTCCGCCTGTATTAGGGACGAAGAGCAAGTCCTGTCCCCTCTTGTCTGAGCATGCTCTCTAATGAAAGGTTGCTATTTTATGTGTGTGGGGCTTGGCCTTAGGCCTTTGTGGCCGGACAGTATCCCCGCCCGTCTGTTTATTCCCAATTCTGCAGAAGGTGCTGCCTACAGGGAACATGCCCTGTGTGTGGCGGGTGGGGTCCCAGGACCACAGAGCTCTCCATGACAGCTTGCAACCCCCGCCCCCCAGGCCATGTTCTCCAAGGCCTGCCAGCTGCAAGGATTTGAGTCTTTAAGTCTTAAAATGCCATTTAAAATATGCAATCTGGAAATTAACTGCACCCAGATGCCGGGGCCTTGGCCACGCCTGAGTGGAGGGCAAAGATAAAAGACAGATGCTGCGGCGGGGGCGGGGCTTCTGTGACCGCCCAGCCTCAGACGGTGGCAGGCGCCCGTGTGCAGGTCTGTGTGAGTCAGCTTTCTTGGGGTTTCCAAAGCGATAATAGAACCTTCCCACTGGAGGACTTGCAGTGTGTCTGCGGAGCAGAGAAGCCATCAGTAGACAGCTGCAGCCTGTCCGGGCCTTGGATGGAAATCCCCCCCCTCCCCTCCCAACCCGGAAGTCATGGGAGCAGTGGCCCAGCCCATCAGTCAGAGCAAGAGGACCCTGGCTCCAGAAGTCTTGTCCTGCTAGTTGGGCTGGGCAGGTGAAAATGGAAACAGCCCTGTGCAGACTTCACCCATAAAGCAGGAACACAGAGAATATCGTGGACGTTGGCCCTGTCAGCCTTACAACGCAGACTCAGGCTCAGCAGGTGGGAGCCACTGGGACCTATATTCAGCTCTTCAAAATTCACTTTCCACTAGTCTTAGGGAGATGAGCCTCAGTTTCTTGAAGTAGGAGTGAGTATGTGTCCTGTTTTGGGGGTGTAACTGTGAGGTCCAGAAAAAAGAAGAGACTTTGGAGGCAGGAACTACAGTTCAGCTTGTAGAGGGTTTGTTTGTTTGTTTGTTTGTTTGTTTGTTTTCTGGTGCAGGAAGCCCTGGATTTTATCCACAGTACTACATCAAAGGTACACATGCCTTTAATCTCAGCTTTTGGAAGGTAGAAGCAGGAAGATTAGGCCTTCGAGGTCATCCTTGGCTTCATAGAGAGTTGGTAGCTAGCCTGGGCTACATGGAACCCTGTCTCAAACAAAACAGGTAGAGAAGAAACCTATGAGGGCAGGCTCATGTGAAGCACAGAGGAAGCCGGGTGTGGTGGTGCACACCTGTGATCCCAGCACTCGGGAGACTGAAGGACAAGGATCTCTAGTCCATGGCTAACCTGGGCTACAGAGTGAGGCCCTGTATCTAAACAATCACAAATTAAAATCACTGAGGATGCCTCAGTAGGTCTAGGTGCAGACAAGCATGGGACCTTACCTAAGGTCCCACGTCCAGGAAAAGGTTGGCTGGTGCAGTCATGGGTGGCATGGGTCTTGTGTTTAGTTACTTGGGAAGTAGAGCTCACTTGTATAAAAAATGTCCCTTTTCTTGCCAGGAGATGTTCCAGTGGGGTCAGCTGCTGTCTCTTCTGGCCTTGCTGCTAATAGGCTTAACCAAAGGGCAGGACCACAGGGTCAGGAGGCAGGATGCTGCA